AAAGATTAGGCTTTTAATACAAAAACAACGTTGTTTCCATTTTTTTTTTTTTTTTTCGTTTTATTTTCCAATACAAAAATCACGAAATATAACATCAAGTAATTCCTCTGTATAAACAACACCAGTTATTGTTCCAAGTGATCGAATAGCAAGACGAAGATATTCAATAGCTAGAACAAGATCATTATTATTATTAATTAATGTTAAAAACATTAATAAGTCTTCAATTGTTCGTGTCAAATACATTCGATGACGTTCATTAGTTAAATATGGTGTTGTAAATGATGGCTCAGTACATCTAAATAATATATAAATCATCTATTAAAATGAATGATAATGATAATAATTTACTTTTCAGCAATATAGTTAGTTAATTTCGAAAGAAATTCTTGAATATTAACACCGGATGTACATGAAATAGGTATAACATTATCATTTAATTGATTAGATTTTAATCGAATATTTTCATTAACTAAATCAATTTTATTTAGTAGAATTAATTTAGTTATAGAATTAAATGACGATGATTTTATAGTAAATAAATTAGATAAATGTTTATCGATTTGTTCAGTTAAATTTTCATTAATAGATAATATACTAATATCGATAACAATTATCAATAGATCACATGCATTTGCTCTTCACATGAGAAAAGAACATATTGACTTTTATGAAGAAAAAAATTTTTTCTTAAATCAACTAACCGATCAAAAGCTCTTAAAACTCCTTCATTTTCAATTGGATCATTTGTTATTCGTAAGCCTGCTGTATCACAAAGAACTATTGGATATCCGCCTAAATCAATCGTTGATTCAATAACATCTCGTGTTGTACCAGCAATAGGTGAAACAATAGCTGTTGGTTTCCGTGCTAAAAATGTTCAAACTTTAAAATGCAAAATCAAGCAAAAGTTCTGCATTAACTTTTCTTATTTTTATATAACGTTGCAACACAATATCGTGGAGACTTCATCCTTTTTTTTTTTTTTTATTATTAAAAAAGACCAATAGGTCTTAGTGCGAAAATATATATAAAAGACTTTGATAGGAGATATTTCCTGAAGGTCACAAAAATCTTACAATAAAAAGTATGAAGACTTCTCTTTCATAACTTTGTTAAAGTTAGACATAAAAAAAACTTCGCATAATACAAAAGGTTTTCTTTTTATACTTTTTCAAGCTTTATAACTGAACGATACAGGATCATTACGGTACCAAAAAACAGAAGTGTTGTTCGTGTTCTACATAAAATCCTGCGGGATAAACTTTTTTCGAATCCTGAATCTCGTTTCGTGTCATTTTCAAATTATCCCAATTTCGAATGTCCCACAGGACTCTAGTTTTACAACAGTAGATACAAACACTATTATAGTTCTCTTCAGTATCGTGAATTTTTCGTAACTGATAATTACACTCCAATAGCTGATTTCTATTGCTTGAATCGAAAACAAAATTCATGCAGAACTTTTGTTCCATCCATAAAATTTCAAAAAAACAAATACTTACTCAAAATATTCAGTAATGAACTCTAAAATAATTTTCAAATTAAACATTTTGTTTGTATTTAAAATTTGTTTTACTTTTCCAGCATTAGGTGCACCTAAAATAGCTATTCGACAACCATCACGTAAAATTTCTCCACGACGATGATCTTGTAAATGTAATGAAATAGTATCATAAGTTATTTTTACTTTATTAATAACTAAAAAAAACAAAAACATCAAACTAGTCAAATATATTCTTTTATACCATCCGTTAAAATATCATTTTCAATATGTTGATCTTCATGAAAATCAATATAAGCTTCGGCATGTGCTAAAGACTTTAAAAACGATAAAAGTTAAAAGAAAAATTTTATTTCTTGTTTTATTTTATACTTTAACTAAATCCATTCTCCAACGTTCATAAAGTTCTTTTAATGAACCTTGCATTTGATATAACGATTGTTTACGTTGTTGTTCAGTTTGTGCATTTATTAAATCAATTAAACCTTCAGCTTCAGTTAAATCCAAACGACCATTTAAATAAGCTCTAAATAAATCTTAAATTAACTAATTTATTTTCATATTAAATTTAATAAGAAAAACTATTTATTACCTTTTACTAAATTCACCAGGTTCAGCGAAACGATAATTTGAAAATGAACTAAGAACTGAAAATATTGCACTTGCTACTGCTTTTGATCCATGAATATGACTGAAATTTAAAAGAATATTAAAGCAAAAATTTCATTTTTGTTTTTTTTTTTATATTTACAATTCAACAATATCTTCTCCTGTAAAACTTTTTGGTCCTGAGATAATAAATATAAATATATATTTTAAAAATTAATAAATGAATAATTTTCTACCTTTGAACCATACAGTCATACATTGATCAATTAAATCATTTGTTTTATCATGATAAATTTTTTTTAAATATAATCTTTTTGGTGTAAAATTTTCAAGTTTTGTTTCTCTTGTTAATTTTAGTAATGATTGTGTTGCTAATGAACCAGATATACGAATAATAGCTACACCACTACGTATTTGATAACCAGTTGCTAAAGCAAATATTGTTGATGATGATGAATAACGACAAAGAAACAAATTTTTATATATTCGCAATTGTTTTAAAATCATCTTTGTTTTTATATAGAAAACAAAAAAAAAAGTTATACTTATATTCATATATAGATATAATAATATGATACAACAGCAAAAGCTGAACGTACTGTTATTTTTTAAGAACAAAAAAAAAGAAACAAATTGCATAAAATAAAACTACGACAAGTGACTAGGATAAGACTGAATCATTAAAAGTTAAATATATGTACAAACTATCTGTTACAATAAAATAATTTCGCTTAAAAATACAACAAAAGAAAAGAAAAATAGATGGACGAGAAATTTTATTTTTATTCATTTTTCTTTAATGTTGATGTTCGTAATGTTGAATATGAGATTAATCGTGGAAAATTCGGTGATGATGAACTTATTGGACTTGTTATTAGTTCATCTTGAAAAACAAAACAAAAAATTTTTCTTTTTTTTACTATAAGAAAATTTTTCTTTTTAAATTAACCTTTTTGATTTGGCGAACTATGAATATCACATTCTAAAAGAAAGAAAAAAAGAAAATAAAAAAATGTATAAATATATTTTTACCATCAAAAACAGCAATTGGCGCATTACTAATTGGATCAATTTCAACATCAATATTATTTTGAATATTTGATCGTATTGAATTAAATCCTGGTTTAATACCATTGATATTCACCGGATCACGTGGTATTAATTGTGGTACCATATCATTTAATGTTTTATCTAGAATAAAATAAAATAATACATTTGTAAAATTTAATTTAACTTACAACTCATTAAAACAGGTTCTTTTAATGCTGCATGACGATGTTTTCGTCGACTAGCCTAATAAAATAATATTAAATTATATAAATATATAAAAAAATAAATTTATACTTTAATTTGTCGAACAAGCATAAAACAACAATAAGCTGGAAAGCCAATACTAGCACAAACGGCACCAGCTACAACAGCTAAACATAAAATAATTGGAGCAGCTAAAATTTTTCCACCAAGTATTGAACCACGTATAAGTCGACGTTTTAATGGATTATCGGGATAAAAACGATATTTGCAACCAAGCACACTTAATTCACTATAATGATCGCCTAAAAACAAATTTCATTCATAAATTATTGAAATTTAGTGTTAAGCTCTGAAAAAAAAAGTTAATTTTCGTCAGAGAACTTGCTATTGAGATAAATGTATGAGAAGATAGCCCAATATCTGATCTTTCAAAAACGACACGATTTCTTTTTTATTTATCATTCCAGTTTTTGATGGTTTCCATTACCTTCTGCCTCAAAAAATACTCTGAAATCTCTTTTGATCGCATACATTTCAGAATTCTCGAAGGAGCTTCGTGCTAGTCAATTGTTTCTATTTTTGTTTAGGAGAGCATGTAAATCTGTAGCATATATTCCTTGAATTAAGTTTTTTTATTATCATATTCAAAAAGTACTTCTATAAACAGATGACCATTTTTCGAGGTATTGCACTCGATATCTTTTTTCTTGGCATAAAAGGTAAGAATTTCTTTAAGAAAAATAATGGAAGCAAAGAAAAGCCTTAAAATACAAACCTATAAATTTAATATCTCGAAAACGATCACCACATTTATAACAAAATTCAGTTTTACAACGAAGACAAACTATATGATCACATCCTTTAGTTCGTTGAATATAAACCTTAAATAAATCAATAAATATAAACTAATAAAAGAAAAAACCTATGTTTTACTTTGCAAGATGGACATTGTTGTGCATTATGTTGACCATAATGAACTTCTCTTGCCCATTTTTTTAACATTCGATCACCACGACGAAATTCTTTACATTGTATACCATCATGCCATGGTGAATGACATTGAAAACACCATATTAAATTACACTCAACACATTGTACTTTTGTTGGTGCTCGTTTCATTGATCGACAAAGTTCAACATCTAGAATTAAAATTAAAAGTTTTGTTTTTTTTTTCAAAAAGAAAAATATATAATTTGGTTTTTTTCTTCTTATTTATAATACCTATTTCATGTATATTTGAACATCTTGGACATGTTTTTATATTTATTGTACGATTATTATCAATTAAGAAACGTGTAAATTTATGTCGTAATTCAGGTGATATACAACGTTGATGTATTTCATCTCGATGCATATACATATTACATTGTTGATTTGGACATTGTATAGAAATAATACCTTGTTTTATTTGTTGTTCAACATATATATTTAAACATGTTGAACATACATAAAAATTACAACATGTACGTTTTTGTAAACGTTTTAATTCGCAACAAATTGTACATTCTGATAATAGTTCTGTTAATGCTAAATGATGATTTGATGAATTCGATAAAATTGATATTTGATTTAATTCATTATTAATTTCTTCATCACTTATATGATCAAGTTCAGATGATATGGATTCATTTTCATTGTTATTATCATTTTCTTTATCATCGTTAGATTTATTATGTATGATTGTATCAACTAAAAAACAATGTCGATGTGATACAGTTGATATTGATGATGAACTTGATAAAAGTGGACGTGGATGTGTATTATTTTGTGGTGCACTATTTTTTCGAACATGTAAAGTTGTATTCATTGAAGTTGTTGTATTTAATGGTTGTTCAGTAAGAGTCGATAGAGCTGTTCCAGTATTTTCAACGACTTTTCCTGTTACTGGTTGATGTGATCGATGTATTGAACGAATATTTGTTGGTGGTTTAGTTATTGGATGATTCATGTAACGTTCAAGTACATGACGTTGAGCTGTTGTTAATGGTAGATTAGCATGAACATTTGAATGACGACTACCTCGTTCAGAATGCCATCGTCGTGGATTATTATTACCAGTGAGAATAGTTGATGTTAAATTGATATTTGTTGTTGTTGTTGTTGTTGTTGATGGAGGATTATTTGAATTTGTAAGTAAAGATGTTTTAAGATTATTTCGAAGAAAATTATCAAGTATAACTGTTGAACCAAGAAGAATTTTTCTATTAATTGATTGTACTTTAGTATCATTTGTTTCATATGTTGAACAATAAGAACAATTATTTAATGTATTATTTTCATTATTAGCTAATAATTTTTCAGCAACATGTTCAAGTTGTGTTGTATAATTTTTTTGTAAAACAGCAAATGGACATGAATGATTTAAATGTTTTTTACTAAGTTGATCGTCAACATTTGGTGTTGATAATGAACAACAACATCCATCAATATTTATATTATTAATAATATCTTTATTTATATTTAAATCATGATGTTCATCATTAAATAAATCTAAATTAAATAATGAACAATGTTGCCATTGTTTTATATCATGATGATTTATTTCTTCTTGTATATTATCTGCCATCTAAAATATTCAAATAAAATTTTATGAATAGAATTTATTTTAAAAAAAAAACAAAAATAATAAACAATTGTTGATGATGATGATAGAAAGAAAAATCTTCTACCGATCATCATCATCGAGTGTTTTTTTTTGACTTTTAGAAAAAGATGATTTGATAAATATTTTAACCAATCATATATTTTGATATAGTGGGCAGACAGGCAACGTACTTTTTTGTATTCACATTAGAGATATTGAAGGAGTAACAAAAGATAAAATGATGTAATAGATGTAATAACTATGTATATTTCATCGGAAATTATGAAATTAGATAATCTTAACATCAAACGATTCCTCTTGATATATGACTGTTTGTATTATTTATTTTTGTTTAATTGTGAAAAGTTATTTACTGTAATTTCGAAATGTTATCTAATGGATCCTGAAAATTAAAATGATCTATACGTACAATATACAGAGAGCAAAATATTTTCCAATGAACTTACACTATGAGTTGATTAGGAGTGTTCCGAGACTGCTAAGATTGAGAGGTTACACAATCACTAGGAATTAATGAGCAAAAAATATAATAAAATGTTAGAGAAAAACGAAAATTTTTCAAGATAACGTGGTCACCTCCCGCTATGGACACTTCTTGAGATGAATGGTTTACAGGTTATTGAAAGTTTTTTTAATCATTATTTTGTATACATCGCAAATAAAATGAGAAGATTTAAATATGAAGCATAAAAAAAGAAACACGCAAATTATTAAATTTTATTTGAATAATATATTGTAAAAATGAATATAAATAAAAATGATCGTAAGGTAAGTAAAGATCAAGATACAATGTTAACAAATGAAAATAGTTATAAATAATAATGAAAGTGTAAAATTTCTTTCTTGTATTTATTGCACTGAATACCAGGGGCATAATCATATACATACAAAATTGCTATTTATATTAATAATAATAAAATTTCCATGATTATGTACAAATATAAATTGCATGATTGCTTGACTGTTCTGAAGTTTTCCAAGTACATATTAAGGCAAATTTATTAAGTGAATAACAACAACTGGCACATGTTATTTTATTGTTTGAATATCATGCATACGAACTTCTTAACAGTACCCATTATTTTCACCCTCATTTGTGCTTGTTGTCTGCTATTTTTATATGTTTATTAATCAAGAAATGCAGGTCGTTTAGAAACATTCTTGCATCAACAGTATTAGCTATATTTTATTATTATTGAAGGAAAGAAAAATTATTTTTCTTTTTAAAACAACTTATTGAAAAGAGCAGATAAGAAATAATAGTTACTGATGCAATGAAATATTATCATCATATTGATTTTATCGTTTGTTTATATTCTCTTGTAAGCTAACGCCCATTTCAAACAAAAAAAAAAGCGAATGGATATTTTTTTAAATAATTTTTTTGATTGAAACGAGATAGAACGCTGCAATTTTTACCATTGGAAAACGAGAATGAAGCCGTATGTGTAGATCTTCCATTGGTGGTTCGGATGCATACTTGATAATTGAAAATTCATTGTAATCATCTTATAATGTACATTACTTTTCAAAAAAATTGTTAAATACCATTCGATGCGTCTTCATCTTCTCTTTCAAAAGGTAAAAACCGTAGCTTCCCTTCTTGATCCTATCAAAAGGTATTAAAAAGAATATTTCCATTTGCCTT